CCAGTGACATCAACAAGGAGAACTACAGCAATACTTTCAATATGTCTGGCTCAAGAGATGGCCCCGGGGCAACATCTTTGTTAGTCAGACCAAGCATCGTCATTGACGGGGCAGATCCGACCGAGCCCTCCGAGTCTGTGGACTCCGAGCTGACTCTCAAGTCGCGTGGCCCACCTGGATGGGAGCGTGCTCGAGCGGATGAATTTCGAGACAGAATGTTGCACATTTCAGGTGAGGATGAAGAGGAAAGCTACTGGTATACAGGTCAGCCTGATCCACCCCGAGGCCCGGATCCGGACGACGATGAGCGAATCGCCCAACAAGAATACGAGTATCAAACCGAAGATACTATCGACACCGAGGCACCATCTAACAACCAGATGGTGCCGACCGCACGGACAGAACTGGTGATCGCTAATTTCCCTTGAGCATGTCATGATATCTTGGTTCATCTGCTAAAAATTCGTTTCACTTCCAGATTGTATGTTAGCTTAATCATTCGGGTCGACGCAACAAATCACGTAGGCTGATACCGAGAGCGTATTGAACATATAGGATGTAAGCCGATTTCGCGCTCCTTAACTAACAAATCTTGGCTAAACCCATATAGTACGTGAGTACTTCAAGCCCGCCGACTTCACTCATTCCAACTGGAACGGGTACTAAATATGATACCTCTTGGGCACAATAGGGAGTGAGTTGATCTCCATGTCTTTCCAGTATCCTCATTGTTGAAAGAACAGCTGAAGACTTAATCACAGGCATTTAACTAGCGTGTAAGTATTATGCGAGGCCATAGAATGTCTCTCGGAGTCGGCAGACTCACAGCTGATCTGATGAAATAGACTGTGAGTTGAGTGATGTTATGTTTTAACAATGGGAATCTACTTACCAAGATGCCACACTGAAGCAAGTATGTTTTTTTCTACAAATCTTCAATTCCTGTTCAATATGCCCTCTAACCTAAGGTACCTCTGAAGCTTGATAACGAGTGGGCCATCGACATCGACAATGCCTTCGCCAAGCGTGTCCTTTCATCTACCAGGTCCAAGGGCTTGCGAGAAAATGGTCCTTTGCCTTCATCTGATCTTTGCAATACTTGTGAGAAAATGTGCAAAGACATTTGGGAGCCAGCCTTCCATATTAAATACACATTGGAAGAGATGGAGATGAATTGCAAGTTCCGAAAATGCGACCTCTGTCGGTTATTATGGGAAACATACGAGAATCACAACGTAGCTAGGAATATGCCTACTGTTACATTCGAGCGCATCAACTCCTCTATCTGGATGAATAGAGAAGGACCAAGTGTTCTTTCTATCCACAGAAGTCCAGGTACATGAAAATCTCATAGGCGTCGGAAACTCCGCTAATTCCTGTTGTTGTCAGATCTCGAGACAAGGATCAGCAATGAAATACAAGTTGGATATCCGGGACTAGTTGCAGCAAACAGCGAGGCGCACTTCGAGATCATGAGACAATGGCTGACGCTCTGCGACAATGCCCACCAAGGTTGCATCTCAGACCAACAAGATGCTCCATACAGAAACTTGCCCACCCGAGTAATTGCAGTTGGAAAGCCAGGGGATGAATTTGTGCAGCTTGTCGAGCCCCGTGATGACGACAACGGGGAATGGATTGCCCTTTCCCACCAATGGGGTACTGGCAAACGCTTTTGCACTACGACAGAGAATAAGGAAAGTTACATGAAGGGTATGGAATATGAGTCTCTTCCCGGCACTTTCAAAGACGCTGTTCAAGTTACACGCGCCCTTGGACAAGCATACCTTTGGATCGATTCCCTTTGCATCATTCAGGGCGATGACGGAGATTTCAATGAAGAGTCCAAGCGAATGGAGCACGTATACAGCGGAGCATACTGCGTCATAGCTTCCAGCAGATCTCCTGGCCATTTTGCTGGATTCTCAGAAGATCGAAACCGAAGAGACACAGTGGTCTTGCAACATGGGGAGACAGCACCATTCTACATCTCTCAAAGTATAGACGACTTCAACCTTGACGTGCTCGAGGGTTCTCTGAACAAGAGAGGATGGGTGCTGCAAGAGCATGCGCTTGCCCGACGAACTATATATTTCACCGACAAGCAGACGTACTTCGAATGCGGCGATGGTGTTCGTTGCGAGACAATGACCAAGATGAGAAAGTCAGTTCTGTGATGTTCATCGCCTTTTCGAATCTCAACTAACTATGAGTTTTTAACGAATTACAGCGAACGTGCTGCATTCCTTGGTGATTCCACCTTCCCCGAGGTCATCATGAAAGCCAAGGCAGGCGAAAGAGTTCTTCGGTATCAGCATCTGTACAAGACATATTCTCGACTTGGCCTTTCAGATGCACATGACAGACCGCTAGCTGTAGGTGGACTGCAGAACCGAATTCTCAAAGCCCTCAACGTCAAGGGAGGCTACGGCATTTTCGATGAAGCGGCTAAGGACAACCGAGGTCGTGGCTTGCTTCGACGAAGTTTGCTATGGCGCCGAGGTCTCGAAGTGAAAGCTCTGACTCGAATCGACTTTCCAAAAAGTCGTCCCACTGTGAAGGTCCCTTCATGGTCATGGATGTCAGTCCAAGGTGGAATTGACTACATCAGTCCCCCGTTCGGTGGCATTCGATGGGAGGACCTCGGGTCTCCATGGTCCTTAGGTGTGGGCGGCTTGAATGGAGGAACCAGAACGGACTCACAAAGTGGATTTGTATCTTTGAATGCGGAAGCACGGGACTACGATCTTCCTATGCCTGGCAATGTCCCAGGGGATGTGGTCTTCGACCGGCCGGGTGGATCTCAACAATCAGATACCAAGTGTGTGGTTTTGGGCAAGCAGAAGAGCAACGACCCTCTACTTTCGGAATCTATGAAGCTTCACTATGTTTTGGTAATCGCGTCGAAGGCAAAGAAGGATGGAGATGGTGTGCCGATTTATGAGCGTGTCGGAGCTGGATCGTTGCTAGGGAAATGCATCAAGTCCCGGGGTGAAAAGGTTCGAATTTACTAAACGTTTCACCTACATGAGTAAGGCAGTCGCTTGGGGATGACCGCAGGGAGTGTTGGACCATTCAACATGGTGCCGACTGAAAGAGCAATCCTTCGAACTGGTTGCGGCATTTTGTAGTTATGGAGGCTTTTCTGAGCTTCTAACGACCACTCATTTAGATACAATCCCAGACACTCGTTTCAAAAAGCATATATCTTTGGGGCTCGATGTAGAACAAATGACTTTTCAGAAGATTTGGGAGAAGCATAGCAGCTTTCATGGGCTCGAAAGGGTCGTAGCTTTCTGCTCGAAGTTAGAACAAGCTATTTATCTTGGATGGGAAGTTGTCTAGAGTCATGCTGAAGGAAGCATGCCAGTTGTAATTTGATCCATGAAAATAAAAACAAACAACAACTTAATTCAAGATCTCTTAAATTCTGAAATAAGAAAATTAGTGAGTGGACTTCTCACCCTGGCTGTGATCGGGAGAATAGTCTCACAAATGACGTCAAGGCGCCCAGAGCTAATGACGTCGTGGAACCGAGCCAAGCGTGATCCAACAAAACAGCTAACATTCCTCACTGTTGAAGCTAAATAATTCCGGCCTCGTTTGGATCTCCTCATCGAATTCGCCGTGACAGTTGGAGCTGCCGATTGAATTCATAGTCCTAAGACCTCATCATGGAGACCTCAACATCAGACGACCAATTCCCCGACCACAATGAGGCCGTCAATCACACCAGCGCATCCAGCCTCACTGTGACGGAGCGAAATGAGCGATACTTTCTCACGCGAGTCGTACAGGCAGTATTGAAGCCCCTCAAGCCCCGATTAATGAAACCGAAGAAGGGATCAGATGAGAAGACGCGATTGACTGCCTCGAAGAGGGCGCGCAGTTACTGCGACGTCACGGAGAACGAAGTAGAAGGAGTCTGGACTTATGACATAACACCAAAGACCACAGCAGAAAGAAAGGAAGGTGCCGGGGCAAGTTATAAGCGACGAGTTCTTTACTTCGGGGGCGGAGGGTGGCAGATGCCACCAAGCGAACATCACTGGGCCTTCTGCGCCGAGCTCGTGCGCCGCTTACCCGACACGAGGGTCACGATCATCTCATATCCCTTGGCGCCCAAACATCCGGTCTCAGTGGCCTTCCCTCAGATTGAGAGGGTTTACAAGAGGCTATTGATGGAGTCGAAAAAGGCTGGAGAAAGGGTCATCGTGGCTGGGGACAGTTCAGGCGGCAACATCGCCCTCTGTGTGGTAACGTGGACGTTGAGGTTCCAGGAGGGAGAGACCGCGAACCCACCGGTCGCCATCCTCGCTATGAGTCCAACTACAGATCTACGACACGAGATGGAAGAGATCAAAAAGGCGGATAAGGTTGATCCCATACATACCCACGGGTGTATCCACGATACAGCGAAGACGTGGTGCCCTGGACCAGTGAGCGATGGTAGCAATTCGCACGAGAAGCCATCGTCTGGTCGATTGGATTGGAGCTTTGAGGATCCTCGCGTGTCCCCTATTCAGGCTGATCTCATGTACCTCGTTCGCCACGGAGTCAAGGTCCACGGTTTGACTGGGTCTAACGATGTGTTACAACCTGAAGCTGTAGCATTCAGAAATAAGTGCAAAGAGTATGGTGTGACAGGCGAGTGGCTATCATGGCATGGGCAGATGCATTGTTTCCCGTTGACATTCAGGTATGGGCTGAAAGCGAGTAAGGAGGCGTTGGACTGGATCGTAGGTGTTTTGGAGAAGTCTTGAAGATGACCGTATTCACGCAGGACGTAATTCGGGTGTTTATCTGACGACCATCGATTTGCCGTGGCGGCGTAAAACTGTCAGGGCCATGCTCAGAATCGTATCAAGGAGGGCAGATTGCCTCCAAATTCTACTACACAATACAAGCGACGCCTCACTCTTTGCTGATTCCAACTGCCCCATACTTCGCCGTTCCCTCCAATCCTCAGAATTTCTGCCACTCGAGGTAGCCGATCAAGCTCAAAAGACCTCCACTGATCTTGCGGTCGAAATCCTCCTGGACACCGGGCTTGCTAGGTCGAAGGAACAAAGTGAACGGCCACCGCTCCCGACAATGTGCTCCTTCTTCATTTGAACTCTGGCTTCATCAGCCTTCTGGAAGATCCCAAACTTCTTCAAATATCTGTTCAAAAGTTAGGTTCGGGCACTCGACTACTCCCAGGCGTACAACACCGAAGATGACGTACCTCTTGATAGCCGGATCATGGTTGAGGACGCAGTCCAGAGCGTACATGATCTTGACCGTCATGGGGTCGTCCATACTCATGGGAACCGAAGTATCCAGATACTGGCGGATGATTTGCGCCGCCGTTCCGTAGGGGCCTTCCGTTGCGAGGCGATCCTCGTTTGTGATATTGTCCCGAACTGCCTTCCCAAGCATGGTGACAAGGGTGGCATGCCAGTTATCGGAAGGGTTCCGGAGCAGGGGCACCATTTTCTCCAAAGCGCAAGGCACTTCAAGCTGGCCGTAGCCCTCATCGGCAACGTGGGCAACCTGCGTCAGTTATTGAAGCCCGATTGAAGTAGTTGGAGATCTGCTAACAGTTAACATGGTTTTGAGAAGGACTGCCCCTCCATCCCAACTCGCAACTCACTGAACCCAGTGCCTCCGTCTCCAATCAAGCCCATCCAATTCCAAGTACTTGGCCGACTTTCACTCAGTCACCTTCAACCAGTTCAGCTGGGCCAAATGGTCTAGCTGGTAAATGCGACAGTTAAACAAACCCTCCTCAGTAGATGCTCTGGTGACTCCGGGAGGGGGGGCCGTTTGAAACGCGAGAGGGCCGTGAAAAAGGTGATTCCCTTCTGGGTTTTCTCACTTTGACTTTCGTCCGTCTTATGACCCCTCTCATGTTCTTAACATGACTTCACGAACCTCTTTGTCAGAGTGAAAACTTTTCCACGGTGCTTCATTTTGGGGGATATGCCGTTCCCCCAACGTCCGGGAAAAGTGACATCATCAATTAAGAATCTAAGCCTGGTCATCCTCGGAGGGATACTTCCAAACTCAGGAGAAGTATGTATAAGGGCGATTTTATAAACTCGTGCAATATCCTGACTTTGTCGTCTCCGCTCTCATTCACTCTTCATTTTTTCGATTGGTAAGTACGCTATTTCAGAGGCTGTTCAAGGTGCAGGTAGAGATCTAGTTGACAATGAGGACAGTGATGCAGAGCAGAAGTGGTTAGGAGAAGTGGGAAGCAGAGATGGCGATGAGCAGAGGTGGTTGTGTCTAGAGATAGCGATCAGGGATGGACAGGAATGTGAACGGGAACAGGGACCAGTAATAAGAGTCAGAGATACAGACAGGAGCCAGAGACAGGAGCCAGAGACGGCAGGCAGAGACGACAGGCCGAGACGAAGACCAAGGACAGGGGAACAAGACGGGGAAGCAGGACGCCAAGGCAGGACGACGATAGTCACAGCAGTCAGGGACTACAGTCAGTCAGGAACTTCGCACATCTCATATCGCACATCATATCCATATCACAACACATCACACATCACCATTCACGGAAGGCACAGGAACAGTTTTGCGTGTGGGACGTATCCCCGCTGGTGATATATTGAAAAAAAGAAAAAAACCCCGAGAGGGGAAAAACCTGGTCCGCTTGTCGCTTATGTCGCTGAAGAAAAAAACACACTCGCTGAAAGAAAACGAGTGTGAAAAAAAGAGTGTGAAAAAAAAAGAGTGCAAAAAAGCAACGCTAGGTAATGATATTCGCTGTAAAAAAGCACCGCTGGTCGTCATCGTCGTCCTTGTCATCGCTGTCGTCCTCGTCGTCGTCCGTCGTTCTTGTCGCACCCTCTCGAGTGCTTATTCGATCCCTTGCTGAAGGAAAAAAGGAAGGAAGGTAGGAAGGCGCCTTCCCTTATCTGGAGTAAGGCTTGGGCCTTCTCATGGGAAGGAGCATCGTGGGAGGCGCCTTCCTCTTCCTGATTACCGTGCCTGCTGTAAAAGGAGCAGGGGGTCGGTGCTCCTGGGAAGGAGCAGGAGGAGGCGAGAGGGAGGGAGAGGGGAGGAAGGGACGACCGGGAGGAGGAGGAGGCGGGACTGCCATCTGCGCGATGGGCATGAAGCCCGCGCGGTCGCCATGGTTGGCGAGGATCTTTGGATCCTTGCGGGCCCTGCCCGACTTGCCTGGCTTGACCGGCTTGCTCGACTTCTTGTGTCCCGCCTGGCTGACCCGCGTCTTCTCGTCGACGTGAGCCGGGGCGGGCTTGAGAGGAGGGCGGGAAGGAGCGTTCGAGCGCTTGCCCAGAGCACCACCCGGGCCTGCCGTCTTGAGGCGGGTCTCGACCCGAATGGTGCTCTTTACGTTGGGATTTCCCAACTTGAAGAAGGGGCGGGGGGCGGGAGTGGCGCGGGAAGGAGCAATGGGAGACATCGTGACTTCTGTTTGTGATGTACTGGGAGCGGTGGTACCGTGTATAGAAGCAAGAAAGCAAAAAGCGGCGAAAAAGCGAAACAGCGAAGCGAAAATCTTTGATTGAAAGCGGACGAAGAAAAGAAGAAGAAGAAACAGAAAGAGCTTCTTGGCGGGCGATCTGGGGCTTTATACACTTGCCGACGAGACATACGGGACAGAGCCATCTACGGTGCTACTCATGGGTGGGCAACCTGTTGGCTGGTGGCGCACATTCCGAATAGATTCAAAAGTAAGTTGCTGCTTTAGTCCTGTGGCGGGGAAATTGCCGGGGGGAGGCCATACATGTTTCCCCTATTAGGGGGTCATGGACAGCCAGAAACGATGTCGGAGACACCACCAGAAACAGCGACAGCAACAGCGACGACATTTGGAGACAGCGATGGCACATGGAGCTAAGAGACAGGGAGACAGAGGGACGACGATGGCGGACGATGGCGAGAGATGATGGCGAGAGCCGAGGACAACAGACGAGGACTCCCAAGGACATCAAGCGACGACAGCGACGACAGCGACGACAGCGACGACAGCGACGACACGCAGAACCAGGAGACAGAGGCGGAGACGGAGACAAACAGGTGCGATGGACGGGGCCGACGGGCGAGGGTAACAGACGATCAGAAATGAAGGGAAAAACGGGCGAACTCAGAGAATAGGGGTTGCGGACCTGGACGACCAGCCACCAAGTTCACGAACCGCCAGTAGCTTATCAATCGCGACAATAACAGCACAGCGAGACTAAAATCCATGTATGCAATGGCTTAAAGCCTTTCTTGATTCATGCCTATAGTACACATGCCCTCGTATCGTCTTGTCCGGGTTCGCCAACCCGCCTACAAGGTATCGTCCTATTGCCCTTCCGCCCAACGCCATACCGATGCTACTTGACAAACCCTATTGTCTCCTTTTAATCCCTATACACAGTACTAGTACAATTGCTCCAATGCAGAGCTCACGCATCGAGCTCGCCCTCCTCAATCATCCGGCCGAGAATGAGGCTCTGGATGACCAGCTCGTCGCTCAAGGTTCTGATCCGCTTCGGGGCTCGGTCTGCCTCGTCCTTGACGGGCGCAGCTGGCCGCTTTCTCTTCTTAGAGGGCTTCGTGTTGGGGGCGGCGGAGCTGAATAGCCCCTCCTCGGTTCCGGTGTGCTCGTCGACGTATACCCAGTCGAAAGGGTCGTCTAGCTCTTCTCGTTGCTTGAGCGTCTCCTTTGCTTCCTCGAGATTGTAGGCTCGCGACAGCGTAGCACCCAAGACATGTGCTAGGAAAACGTATGGCATCTTCTTATCCTCCGCTCTGGACTTCTTCATCACCAGGAGGATCTTGCTTCCCTCCAACATCTTTGGCCTGCGTTCGACGACATCGCCAAGTCGTGCCTCGGTGGCCGAGTAGGGTGCCAGGGAGCGAGAGCGGATGGCGTCTCGAAGGAAGGTTGACTGTCCTGCACAAAGCAGGTATGGAAGCCAATCTACCACTGTTCCCTTCGCCACGCAGGTGGCTACCCATCGATCCGAAATACAAGGTAGTCCTAGAGCAAGAGCTTGCATGTACTTAACCTTTCGAGAGTGACCATCTGCAATCAGGGCTGTGAAGCCGAGCGACTGGGCCCAGGGTGTCAAGGTCAGAGGGGTTACCTCTGTTCCATCCGATGCCGGGCTGGTTGACGTGCTCTTCAGTGCGTTTGCTTCGAACAATTCGTCGAAGCCGTTGGTAAGCAGATGTCCACCAGCTTGTGAAATCATCTTTTCAACATCTCGGCTCTGTCCCAAACGGTGCTCGTATTGGTCCGGCTTCTCGCCGTCTTTCTTCGACTGAAATGATATGGCAAAGGCCATGCCTGCGAAGATCTTGGCACCGCCGCCATCTTTGGAAGTATACGACAACATTGAGAGACGGCTGCCGCGTGCACTTTGCTTCGGGGGTTGGATGATACTATTCTCGAAGCCCGTAACAGAAGGTGACCGGGTCAGCTCGTCAGTCGAGGCACTATCAAGACGCGTGCTCCTGCGGCTCTGTCTTCGAGTGCTGGGCTTGGCCACGCGTGATCCTGTGGTGACTCTCGACAAGGACTTTGCGGACTGGCGTCCACGTGTCGGCTTTTCGGGGGAAAGCGGCGGAAGCTCGACGGATTCTTGGGTAGCCGGAGAGGTCTTGTCCGATGGTGCTGGCGTAGCTGTGAGATCACTCAACGTCGAGGTCGACCCGGGAGGCTCAGCAGCAGTCGGTGATTGATGGGTATCTGGCGTTGCGGGATTATTCTCTGTTGGTTTGTTCTGGCTAATGATGGCTGGAGACGTCTTGTTCTTGGACCGAGTCTTGGGAATGGGAGGGGAAGATGGAAGGGCAGGTTGGTCCTCAACAGCGAGAGCATCTGCTGGGGCAGGTGCCTCTTCCTTGGTGACTCCGTCTTGCGCCATAATCGGCTCCTCGGCAGGAACTATGGCATGCTGAGCAGTGCCTTCTCCTGAGTTGCGACCCTCGCGACCCTCCGTGTTAGCAGACTTCAAAGATACAGCTGCACGTGCTGTGGTCTTCAATGATTGAGCCTTTGGCGTTGGTCGGGGTTTGCGGCCAGACCTGCGCGAAGGTTGCACAGGCGCAGGCTCTGATAGCTCGGTGTCGGGCTCTTTGGCTGGCTCAACTGCTGCCACAACTTCTTCTGTATTTCTCTCAACCTCGTCCTCGACCTCCTGGGGGGCTCTGTCTTGACTGGCGGTTTCCGCAGGGACTTCCGGTTCCCCGACAGGCTCAGCGTGGCGTTTCGCCAAGGGCTGGTCAGATGATGCTATGACCGCAGGCTCAGGATGTGACTGCGTGTTGGTAGGGCTCGTCTCGGGAATAACGTCCTTGAGGCGCGAGCTGTTGCCCGAACTCTCCGTTTCCGGGACTGCGCCAGCAGTATTCGACTTCTGGGTGGCGCCTGTACTGTCAGGAACTTTTTCGTTACTCGACACGATTCCCGGTTTGCCGTTCCCGAGATCAGGCGATGCCCGTGAACGCGGCCGCTGGTTTTCTTGTCCCTGAGAATCAGCAACAGTAAACTCATCCGCGTCGTCGTCTGATGTAGTCGCAACACGACGTCCGCGGTATCGTCCTGCTCGGGTGGCTCTTGGTCTCTTAGT